AATATTAAATATTAGCGTATAATTTGAATCCATACAATGAAATAACGAACTTTACATAAATTAAACATGAAATAGCTAGAGTAACATAGAAGTAGAACAAATTAAAATAAATCTAATTAGCGAAACTGCAACTTCTAAACAATCTATTTATATGCTGACGTTTCTAATATGCCATTTCCATGGTGATTCGCAAAATCATATAACGCCTGTTACATATTTTAAGATTTTAACCTGAATTATCTAATTTTTTAAAGAACCTTTAAATTGCTGAAGGAAGTAGTTTAACAAAGGAATTTGATCCTTTCCAGTCCCAAATGAGAAAAAGTAGAACAAAGGTTCCTTTAAAATGCCGACAGTTCGTTTTATACAATTTTTTCAATGTTCACTCCATTCACAGGACTTCTGGCCGGGTTTCTCACATGGTATCTATATAAGTTTATGAGTTATCTCAGTTTCTTCTGTATGAAAGCTATAGCTTATTCTACGCTGTAAAACATATAGAAAAGTTTCCGAATTACAAATATTTAAACCACTTATATATAAAATATTACACATTGTGGGTCCTTACTACAATTCCCTTATTTTATGTAATCGTTTTGGCAAAAGGCATAACTGGTAAAATAATTCCTTCACGTTTTCTAGTAGTTAATTTTATGGTTGATAATCTATATACGTTATTTAGTTGCATTAGAGGTTAAACAACTTATAAACTCAGAAAGCGTGATTTTTACAACAAGATTTATAAGTGTTTAAGTTCAGTGTCAATATGTTTAATATCTATATTGATGCTTGAATAATGGACTATCTCAAAAGGAATGGTCTATTCTTTACTGTTTACCTTGTTTTCTCACCATATTTATGCCTATTTTAATAATGCTATCTAGATATGGAAATTTCTGAAGGAATTATTCTAGTAGACGTTCTCTAACTACAGGTTAGACACCAATGTAAATATCCTTTCTGGCCCGGCATGGCCAAGTGGTTAGGGCACTCGACTCGCAATCTGCAGGTCGCGGGTTCGAATCCTCATCCCACCAAACATGCTCGCCCTTTCAGCCGTGTAGGC